ATTCGGGGGTGGGCGAGGGGGGGGGGGGAAGATACGAAAAGAAGCAAAGGGGGGCGGGAGGGGAGAGGTTGCGTCGGTTCGAGGGCAAATCTAGTAAGCTAGGACAAGTGCTATTAATAACTGTTTGGGGTGCCGTACCTGGCCGCCGCGCGGTGCCTTCGGCGCGAGACTTGCGTCTCGATACGCGCGTTTCATCCACCGGCGTCTCAGTGTCGTCGCGACGACCTAAACGTCGTCTCCGTTTTGTGCCAACGTTTCTATTACACACACGCACTCGGTTATATTGTTTTACAAAATTCGAAAATTCAAAGTCAAATTCGTAAATTAGAAAGGTTGATAAACCCTCTTTCTATATATTAACCGGAAGTGAATCAATTTAAGAAAAGAAAAGAACCATTTTTTTTCGAAATTAAAAATTATATTTTGTGCGGAAATATTTCTATATGATTAAGATTTTTTTTTCGATAATAATTTGTTTCTGAAAATTGGATCTTTTTTTTATTGATTTTTTTTTTTTATCCACATTTATCATCTCGTTGAGAATGATCACGTAATCAATTTGCAATTGCTTCCTCATTGTAGGGGGGAATTATTTTTTGTGATGTAATTCAATAGCATTATAATAAATTAAATAATTTTTTTGTAATTATAAATAAGAATTAATAAATGTAATCTTGTTCTCTTTATTTGATATCTGATTCAAAATTTCACTATGCCTCAAGATATGCGAAATTTTTTATGGGAGCAAATTATATATAGTAAAATTTTCTTCTATTTTGGATCATTTTTTTAAATTTAGAAATTATTTTCTATTATTGTGTGAAAATTGGTATTATCCGAGATGTTAGGTGTGGATATCTGGATTTTTGTACAAAAATTGAAACATTTTTATGGTTTTTCATATTCGAATTTCAAACTGTGATATTTTTTTAATTTCTTCATTTTGTCATGATTTTTATTCCGAAAAAAATTCTTATAATACGTTGCATTTTGTCTAATTTATGAATCATCAATTTATTTGTCCTTGTTGTCTGTTTGCTTTTGAAATATATGAGAAAGGCTAAATATAGCCGAAATATTTATAGAATTCTTTTCTACAATATCTTTTTTTTTCAAAAATTGTTCTAAGGCAGAAAATTTTGCTATTACTTCAGCAGATATGCCATATTTTTCTGAAGCCGAATTGTATATATGGATTAATTTAGAGATAATTCTATATTTATTTGATGTTGAAAAATTCAGAAAAATTCGATTATAAAATTTTTATCTTTTTGTTGACGATAGGTTAATTATCTTTAGATGCATAAAACTTGTTAATAAATCCATGGTTGGTTATCCCCTTTTCATTATATGAAAATATAATGTTGAACTTGATATAAGTTTACATACCTGAAAACAGAGAAGTTACAAGAGCTGTTACAACCACAATTGTGGATCCTCAAACTTCATATAGTTCTCAAAGTTTAGAATGACTTGTTCAACATTCACATGGTGCACATTTAGCAGCTTTGTTAAAAGCTGCTTTTTTTCATCACCATATTGAACAAATTTCATTTTAATTCTACTTGCTTCCTCGTAATTATCTTACGGATTCAGAATTCTAAACCCTTTTTTTTTTGTAAATTATCTTCGGATTAATATTTTTAATGGAATATTTTGTATTAAAAGTATTCTATTAGTTAAAAATTAATATCTTGAAATCTCAAGGGCAAATTTTTGCGCAGTTACAGATGTAGAAATCCAAAATGATATCGTCTTTTATAGAGGAATGAATATAAGAGTACAAAATACTCGACAACAACCTGCCACTGTCTCCACACGGAGTGTCATTAAAAAATAGCTTCTCTCTCTCCACGTCATTGAGGCCTGACGAAAATAGTACAATTTATTTCGGTACAAAGCAAAATGGTTGCTTTCTAAACCATCTCTCTTTTGAAACGTGTGTATCTGTAAAGATTTGAAATTTCCTTGAAACTTTCTCCAAATTGAAATTATCCTATAGTTTGATATAAATATAGTTGTAGATAATTAAAAATTTTCTCTTAACAAATACAAATTTTTTGACCTTGCTCGATAATAAATAGGTGACGGACCATATAGTTTATAATCTATAACACAGTGATGATAAATTTTTTTTTGGTTCTTTTCTTTTTGCAAGAAAATGCAATTAAAAATTGAAATTAAAAACAAAAATTGATCTAAAGGTGTTTTAGTGATAAAAATTTGGGAAAAATATTATTTGAATAAGACGAATAGGTGAAAAATTGTGCGCTTAATTTCGCGCACGACAAAAACAAATGAGGCCTCGATCATCTTGCATTAAAGAGGCGGAGGAGTGTTGTGAATATTACGGATATTGTAAGAATCAGTGCTTCTGACAGCTGGACCGACAGTGGAATAGACAGACGGTAGTGTACAACAGCGGCCACAGTGCTTGCGAATACTCGATGGTTGGTGTTGTTATAATTAGCATTTTTTTTTACGCGTTAGATTTGGACAAAAAAAAAAAAATTTTTTTTTTTTTTCTTTATAACTTTCTGTAAAATTGTAAATGATAGTTTTGTCTCCTCCACATGATTTTTCGGGTCAGTATTTTAGGAAATATTTCATGTAACAATGTGAGAAAAAAATATCTTTATTTGTTGTTTAAATTTACCATAATGTAATAAATAATTTTACAGTATTTCATCAAAAATTAGGAGAAAAAAAAATTTACCATTTTTTTTTTACGCATTTTATAAAACTTGTGTGTTGCTTGAGAGATTTTAAGGCTCAGTTTCCTCTCTCTCTCTCCATATATACATCTGTTACTGAAATTCAAAGATGCAAGCTAGAGATAAATCAGAAATATACTATTTCAGTTGTTTCTATCTTTTTGGGGGGAAAATTTGCCTACGAAGCTTTTTGTGAAAATGTATTGCTGAGTCAAGAAAGTCGTTTAGTTTAAACTATCGTCAATTCAGCTGAAAATATTTATTAGATCAAAATCTAAGATTACATCAACATGTATTTTATATTTATTTTTATTTATTTTTTTTTTTGATGCAGATTATTAGAAGAAATTTAAAAAAAAGAGATAAAAAAATATCCCCGGGAAGAACAATTTTGTTTCATAAATATGAAGATTTTTGAAATAATGAAATTTATTATACGTGAATGTATTTTATAGTCGCATTTTATTTGAATGCATCTGTATGTAGCTCTCGGGGCAAATTTAGATAATTTTTTTTTTTTTTTTTTTTTGCTTCCCATTTTTATTCCTTTTAATGCAGCGTTTTATTAATTTAGCGTAACTACAATAAATTTAGAGATGAAATAATTAAATGAAATCAACATTTACATTTTTGCGAAATATTTTCTTAGTTGAATTTCGAAAATATTTTTGAAAAATAAATTTTAAATTACAAATTTTCCTTTCTTTTTTTCTCGAAATCTTGGTTTTTTTCTTTTTTTTACGAAACATTTGCAGAAATAGAATTGCCTCTTCAATTAAAATTTTTCTACTTATTTATACAATAGGGAAAAAAGTGAGAGGCAATCGTTTGTTATAAGAAAAAAAAAATCCCCCTCCATTATGTCAGTATTAAAATATATTTCACAAATGTGAATGAAAATATCGCGTGTTACATAGGCACAATTGTAACTCTTAAAATCAAGATAAAACACAAATTTATTTCAATTTACTTGAAAGAAGAATAAATAAATGTGATTTTTGTCAAAAATTTTTAATTCTTCAATTGAACAAAAGTGAAAATAATTAAGAATGAATATAAATTTATATAAATAAGGGATGGAAATTAGATGGCTAGCATGTATTAAACATTTGAATGTTATCCTTTCCCTCTCCCCCCCCCTGCGTAGCATGTGGCATCGCCCCAAGCGCGTCTAGTATTCGTTCCTGGTTCCGGCACTCTGTCAAGTGCAGTTGAATGGCCGAGATTCCACGATAAAACTCACGGGAAGAGTTTGTGTCATGCATATACGCGAAGGGGGTAAAAAAAAAGGAGAAATGCCTGTATCACACGTGCAAGGTCAAGTAGTAAGGGACCTTGAATTTGCAAACATTACTTATGTATATAAGTACTCGTCTCATCCATGACGTATGACACTATGAGCCGTTCTCATTGTTTTACTTTCATTTTTTTTTTTTTTTTTTTAATACTAATTGCCTCCAAAGAGTAGAAATGTTAGTAAGAAATTTGTACCATTTGTGTAAAATTCTTCTTACTCTTGTGTAAAATTTATCATACTGTTGTGTAAAATTTATCATACTGTTGTGTAAAATTTAGCATACTGTTGTATAAATTCCACTATTTGTTGTGTAAAATTTACCATACTGTTGTATAAAATTTAGCATACTGTTGTATAAATTCCACTATCTGTTGTGTAAAATTTACCATACTGTTGTATAAATTCCACTATCTGTTGTGTAAAATTTACCATACTGTTGTATAAATTTCACTATCTATTGTGTAAACAATACTATTGTATAAAATTTACCATACTGTTGTATAAATTTTATTATCTGTTGTGTAAAATTTAGACAACATGGTAAATTTCACAAAACAGTATAGCATAAATTAAGAGAGTAAATTTGACTATTCTGTTTCATAAACTTTATCCAACAATTGTGTAAATTTTACCATAATTATTTTTACGATTTTCGTTAGGTTCTTCATTTATAAATTGTTTTTGGCAATTTTTTAAAATTGCTTCTTTCAAATGAAAAATCTAAAATCACTTTCTTGAAGTCTTTTCTTCTCGATCTTATGAGAGAACTATGTCTCCAGCCTCTGTGTTTTTTTTTTTTTTTTTTTGTTTTTTTACTTAGAAAATGAGAGAGAAAAATAAAAAGATGCATGCGGTGACTGTTGTGCCTGTAACATCGAAAGTAGCTATTGTCTGATGGTTTTTAAATGTAGGTGGAGAGACATTAAGAGCGATCTGTTAAATGAAGTGGACAATGAAGTGGAACGTGAAATGGACGTCTTTGATTTCAGGATGAGTTCCATCCATTCATTGAGGCCCTTCTACCATTCGTGAAGTCTTTCTCCTACACGTGGTTTAACCTACAAGCTGCAAAAAGGCGTTACTATAAGAAGCACGAGAAACGGATGAGTCTCGAAGAGGAACGACAGTGTAAAGAAGAACTCCAGGTGAGTACAATTTTTTTTTTTTTTATTTTAATTCTGCGATATTAAATATATATATAATTTACTTTTGCTACACAGAAAATTAAAAGGCATTAAAATAAGCTGCAACGCTTATGATTTTAATTCATTTTGGTATTAAAATAAGCAAAATTGGATTAAAATAATAAGCGTTGCAGCTTATTTTAATGCCTTTTAATTTTCTGTGTAATTAAAAAGTAAAAAAGCGTAAATAATCTGCTCCATTTAATGACATTTTTTTTTTTTTTTTGTCTTCAAATCATTCCCTCTCCCATTAAAATAAGAAGATTAACCCAAAATATTCGATTAAAATCAAAAATCTAATTTTTAAAACTTTTCACAACTTTTATTTTCTAATTGAAATTTCTTTGAATTTTTATACAGATGAAATTTTTATTGACTTTGCGGATTTTTGAGAGGGGGGTGGGGAATTATTTTCTTTTTTCATTTTATTTATCTACCCCCCTGCCACTAGTTCTTCTCTCTACCGCAATTCGCATTCTCCCTCGTTCTACGCCGGTCGATCAATATTTTAATCCCGCGATGCTGCGGTATTTAGCGAGTAGACGGACGGATTTATACTTTGAACAAGGATTTTCTTTTCAAATCGATTGGAGTTTTCTAGATCGTTAGATTTTAATCTCTAAGCCCTGTGTGGTTTTTGTTACTATATATATATATATATATATATATATATATATATATATATATATATATATATATATATATATATATATATATATTTGAGGAGATTTTGATATTTGCAAATTACTGGCCAAGAGAAATATAGAAAAATTTCTGCGAATTTATACTTTTTAAGTAAATTAATTTAAGAAATTTCATTAATTTTTCTACAAATTTTTATATTGTATATACACAGTTTTCTGAGGCTCTCAAATTGAGACCATAAACAGCATTAAAACGTTGCATTATCAACAATTTGATACACTTTATGGTCTCGAATTTGAGATTCTCAGAAAACTGTGATGGGAAAATTGTTAATTTTTTTTTTTTTTTTTGTAGTTAAATTTCAAATGAAATGCGAATTGAGAATTGGAGTTATACAATTGCAAATTCCATGCGCTTATGAAATAAATCGTTTTGTGTTAATATCTGTGTCAGTGATTTAAAATTAGGCGATATATTGACTGCTTTATATACTGAAATAGCATCATAGTTGGCAAAGGATATCATTGTGTTTATGAACTATAAACCTTCAAATCACTTTCTGTTTCTTTATATATATGGGAGAAAGTAGTTTTAGAACTTGAAAAGCCAAGAGGAGGATAAAGTTTACGGAATAATTTAATTTCATGAAAATTTTTTTTTTTTTTTTTAAATACAGTTTATTTAATTCAAATAAAAATTATTTTGTTCAAGTAAATATTTACACCCACAAAAATGTTTCTTTGCATCAAAAAAGTATTCCTTTGATATAGGGTCAAAGAAATGTTTTTTTTTTATTTAAAAAAATTTTTTTTATTCTAAATAAAACTTTTTTTGAAATTGAAAAAGTATTTCTTGAAATCAAAAAATTTTCTTTATATCAAATAATTTTTTTTTTTAAATTAAAGAAAACTTTTCTTTAACCCTTTATCAAAGAAATACTTTTTTGATTAAAACAAACATTTTTCTTGGTTTAAAAGTGGGATAAAATGCAGGGACAAATAGCATTGTTCGAAGTAGAGAAAACTTTATTTGATTCAAATAAATGGTTACTTGACTATTATCACATAAATAATTTTTAAAGTTTAAATAAATATTTTAAAAACAAATTTTTAATAAATAATAAAATTACTGAAAGAGAAGAAAAAATGGTTCAACTTTGATTCAGTCGTACAATAAAATTTAAGCGACGGGTTGGTATTATTTATAGATAAAATTTTTCGTAAAAATTTTTATATTGAACAACCAATGATAATAATGTTAGTTTGTAAACTGAAAAAAAATCATTTGACTCAAATAATTGGTTACTTGACTATTATCAAATATGTACTTGAACCAAATAATTTTTTTGTGTAATTAAATAACCTTTGAACCAATAATTTCTGTATTTAAAACAAAATTTAATTTCCCAAAATAAAAATTACTTGGTTCAGCTAAATATTTATTTGATAATAATTAAGTAACAGATAAATTGAATCAAATAAATTTTTTTTTCAGTGTACGCAACTATTAAAATCTAAAATGTTATTTTTTACTGTTATATTTTTATTTTTATCAATAAATTAACTTTTATAATTATATTTAATAACTTTTATAATTTTCAGGTGAAAAAAATAACATTTTAAATTTTAATCTTTGAACAAAAAAAAATATTATTACCTGTTGTAGAACGTAACAATTGTTACAAAAAATTTTTTTTATTAAAATAATACTGACCCACGCAGTTTTGTGTAAAGTGGCAAAGGCCCTTTAGATTCGTTTTCCTTAATTTCAAGACACACAGGCCACATAGGATGATATCGACTACTTTAATTCCGGCGCACGACGAGAGGATGCGGAAACGTATATATATATATTTACACGGCTGAGAGCGAAACGAGTGTAGTAGTTTTACCAACACCTAGTGAAATATTTGAGCAGACAAGTACAACGAGTCGAGAGAGAATATATATACATATATACACGTATAAAGATAGTGAGGAGAGAGAGAGAGAGAGAGAGAGAGAGAGAGAGAGAGAGAGAGAGTGTGTAGACATGTAGCGCATACGCCGTCGCGACGGAGGCTGCGGCTACGCGGCGCCTACCAACCACCATCTATAATCTCTATGCGGATATCGATTTTCCACCCTGTATTTCCTAAATTTATGCAAACTAGCACCCCCTTACTACGTATGTCGGCCCCATTCATCTAACGAGCTCACCCCCCCCCCTCCCCTCCCACCATCACTATCGTTGTCTCACCTATCTTTTCATAACTCTTAACTGCGCCCCGAAGGGTGAGGGCGTGAGAGAAAAAAAAAGTGGAACGAGAAAAGTCAGAAAGAATAACAAACGATAAAGTCCATTTAAACGAATCCCGATTTCTAATTAAGAGAAATTTAATAGGGAACGATGTAATTGCTATATATATATATATAAGAGAGAGGATAAGCGGAATTTATGAATTTGGGGTGTGATGATAAGAAAAAAATTTTACTTCTTGTTTTTTCGTGAAATATTAAATATTTTTTGACATTCAAAAAAAGATAGGAAATAAAATAATGCCGAATAAGGTAGAATATATTTTTTCTTTATATTTTTGTCCCTTTTTTTTACTGTCTGATAGTAAAAAAAAATATACGATTCTTTCAAATAGATAAAAAAACAGTAGATATATTTTTTAATAATGAGATTAGTGTTTGAAAAATGGTAAAAATATTTTTCAACAATAAATATTAGAAAAATTGATAAAATAATATTGGGGAAAAGTATGGGGCAATTTTTGATAGGATTATTATTCACTGATCTACAATGGACCAAAGTGGAGAAAATTTTCGAAATTAAAAATTTTCGAGATAAAATCACGGGAATAGTAGAAAGAGTTATCACGAGTAACAGAGAAGAGTACAAAAAAAATGTATGAACCACTTTTTGATAGAACCAACAGCATCCGATGGACCAAAGTGGAAACATTTGTTTTTAATTTTTTAAGAAAAAAAACTTTTTGGAATTCCACAGAAGTTATCTCCAGAGAGTTGCTTACAAAAAAAGTATTAAGCTTTTTTTGAAAGGACCCACAGCATCCGAGCTGCGTACGCAGTTCAGCATCCGAACTACAATGAACCGAAAAGGAAAAAAGAATTTAAAAAATTTTAATTTTCGATATAAAATTTCGGAACTAAGAGGAGAATTATCCCAAGATAGTGATCTACAAAAAATGAATGGATCACTTTTTGATAAGACCAACAGCATCCGATGGACCAAAGTGGACAAAAATTTGGAAAATTTAAATTTTTAAGAAAAACCCTCAGAAACATCACAGAAGTTATCTCAAGAGAGTTCCTTACAAAAAATGCACCGAGCATTTTTTGAAAAAACCAACAGCATCCGGGGTACAATGGACCGAAGGAGAAAAAAATATTTTAAAAATTTTAATTTGCGAGACAAATTTTTTGGAGCCTAACAGGAGAGTTATCTCAAGATAGTGATATACAAAAAATGAATGAACCAGTTTTTGATAGGACCAACAGCATCCGATGGACCAAAGTGGACAAAAATTTGGAAAATTTAAATTTCTTTACAAAAAATACAACTGGCATTTTTTAAAAAATCCAACAGCATCCGAGGTACAATGGACCAAAGAAGAAAAAAAATATTTTTTTCAATATTAATTTTAAAAATTTAATATAAATTATTAACAAATATTTGTTGAAAAATTTTTCTTTTGTAAAATTTCTTATTATATCGAGAAAAAAAGTATCTATATACAAAAAAGTTGAACTGATCAATCTTGTCGAAATTTTCTATAGCTTTTCTTTCCAATTAGACTTGTCTTGCAACAAAGACAGCATCAAATGAAGAAACTCAGCAATGTTATCCCACACTACAATAGCGAGACTAGCTCGAGTACTTGAACGCAATTAGGACTTACAGCCAGACGATTGTGCAGAAACTCGTGGAAGGTAAAAAAAGAGAAGGAAAAAAAAACTAAAAAAAAAGTAGAAGAAGAAAAATCTCCTTGTCTCCGATAAAGAATTACGGGCAAAGGATGTACCCGGAAAAAAACAATTCTTCCAGTGCCTTGAGTCGTGTGCGTTGCCGAGTTTTCTAATCTGCAGATTCTTTCCAATGAGATGGGGTTTTCCTTCGAAGATATAATTCATCCCGTCTGTCTGAAGCACCAACATCGAGTCGCGAAAGGCGGGTTCAATCTGTGTATTATGTAAAATCGTTATAGAGTTTCCCCCCCAGGAATATCTAGAAATAGAGATCGATAAAACAGAATCATTTTCGTATAGTTGCAATCTGTTTTTTTTTTCTTTAATAATTTTCAAAAAGAA